GGCAAACAAGTATATCCTTCTGCAATGCCCTTTGCTTTAGGTTAGGATGTGCCCTTTGGTAAAGAACTTGACCTTTGACCTGCTTTCACGTTTCTAAGTCCTGGCGAGATACCCCTTCACGATGCTTTACTTTTACAAGGCCTGTATCGGGTAAAGGCCCTTTTACTCTCGCCGGCCTAGTTTCGAAGTCCTCAACGAAATCATTTACCTATCAATGATGTGAATTCCTCTCGTTCCTCTTTCATACGCAGACACAATATGAGGTGCAGAATCTAATAATTCTTCTCTTGTGAACCAGCGATCTTCACTAGGATCCTGGTACGCAAATCTCACCTTATATTGACGCTGTGGTCTGCCTCTACGACCAGTATGAAAAGTATTTTCTGCAACAATTTTATCCACGTCATACTTTCCATCCATACTTGGAGGTATCGCCGATCTGCAACTTGGGAATAGCTCATTCGTTACACAAGGTAAGAGCTTTGATGTGTGAAACACTGGATAGGTATGTAGGTGCAAAGGAATCTCAATGACATACGAGGGATAATCCACATCTCCAATCACATCTAAGACCTGCCAAGGTCCTCTGTAGGCGGGTAGAAGTTTCTGAGAAATGTTCTCTTCAGGAGCAAACTCCTGAGACTTCACCCAAACTAAGTCTCCTGCAGCAAATTGAGACGGTCGTCTGTGCTTATTCGCCTGTTCAATCATTTGATGTTGTGCCTTAATTATATTTTCCTTTACCTTCTCAATATTTTTCTGGTATTGGATTGCGAATTCACTAGTCCCTAAAGGAAGCTTATGTACTTGATCCGGGTTTAATCGATCAACGGGTCTGCGTGGACGCCATCCCAGATGTAACTCCATAGGAGTCTTACGTGTAGATAGATGCACAGAGTTATTGTAGGCACTAGCAACCTTAGGCAGATGTTCATCCCAGTCAATTTGGTCAGGACGAATGTACATGCGCAAAGTCTGTTGTAATATCTTGTTCATCTGCTCAGTCTGGCCATTTGTCTCAGGATGTCTACCTGATGACATAGTTAGCTTAGAGCCATACACATTCATTAGTTGCTGCCATTGTTCACTTGTGAACCTTGTATCTCTGTCACTTACAATAGTTAAGGGATGTCCAAAATCTTTTACCCAGTGGCTAAAGAACTCCCGAATCACCAAATCAGTCTTTGCTTCCGAAGGCAATGCTACAAAAACAGCATATTTAGTGAACCTATCCACTATTACCATCACTTGCGTTTTCCCATTCCTGCTTTTTACTTTAGTGTCCATAAAGTCTATAGATACAGAGTCTCCAGGGCCTGTAGGGATAGGCAAAGGCTTAAGTAGCCCAAGGGGAGATTGTGTGGTGCTTTTATTTCTTTGGCACACTAGACAACCTTGTACGTACGAGACGCAATCTGCCTTCATGCGAGGCCAGGTGTAGGAACGTAACAAAGTCCCATAGGTCTTCTTCCACCCAAAATGGCCTTCTGTATCATGACATTCCCCTAAGATCAAACTCTTGATCTCTTCATTATTTGGTATGCACAGCCTATCATTCACATTTGTTCTTTCAAATAATAAACCCTGAGTAATCTTGTGATCGGGAAACCCTGCTGGTGTTTCTTGTCCACGTTTAATCATCGGTCCATAGACAGGATCAGAGGGATATGCATTCCTAATCTTCTTCTGTAGATCGGCACCAACATCTAAATATGTCACAATGGCACCGAAAAAGTCAGATCTACGACTTAGTGCATCAGCAACGACATTATACTTACCCTTTACTGGCTTTARCTCAAAGTCAAAYAGATCAATCTCCGCAGCCCACCTTGTTAACTTAGGTGTCATTCGAGCTTGCGTTTTGAGCCAGCGAAGTGTTTCATGGTCAGAGTATACCTTAAAATGCCTTCCCAGAAGATAGTGTCGCCAATGATTGAGAGCCTCACGAAGAGCATACAACTCTCTTTCATACGTCGAAGCGGTCACTTTCTCGTTAGGCAACTGGTAAGACATAAACTCCACAGGTCTGTATCCATGTCCATCGTCTTGCTGGAGTACAGCACCTATACCATATTGACTAGCGTCGGTCGTCACCACGAAAGGTAATGAAGGGTCTGCCACTTTCAAAACCGGGTAGTTGATCAAACACTTTTTCAGACGCTTAAATGACATCGTGCAGTCTGAATGCCACTTCCAAATTACTTCTTTCTTGAGCAACCTGCGAAGGGGAGCAGCTATTATCGTAAAGTGGCTCACAAACTTTCGATAATAGTTGGCTAACCCAAGGAACGACCGCAACTCAGTCAAAGTGCGGGGGTTCGACCAATCTCTGATTGCTGCTATTTTTGCATCTTCCGGTTTGACCCCATCTCCATCAATCACATGTCCCAAATATAGAACCTGACGCTTGGCCCATTCACACTTCTTTGGGTTTAACTTGAGTTTTGCTTCTCGTAACTTATTTAGCACAAGTCGAAGGTGCTCAATATGCTCTTTCTCATCTTTACTAAAAAATAGAATATCATCTAGATAAATAACAACGAATTTGTCAAGCCATTCACGAAAAAGTTTGTTCATCGTTCTTTGGAAAGTGGCAGGGGCATTTGTTAGGCCAAAGGGCAAAACTATAAACTCATAGTGCCCATACCTTGTTCTGAAGGCAGTCTTATGTTGGTCTTCCGGCTCAACCTCAATCTGATGGTAGCCAGATTTCAAATCAATCTTTGAAAATATCTTGCAACCCTGCACGCGATCCAGCAAATCATCTATTCGCGGTAATGGTTCAGCATTCTTCACTGTTATATCATTTAATCTCCTATAATCTATACACATGCGAACGCCGCCATCCTTCTTGGGTACAAAGAGTACAGGCGCACCATAGGGCGAGGAACTAGGTCTTATCCATCCATTTTTCAGCAACTCATCGAGTTGGGTTCGCAATTCATCCAATTCTTGGGGTGACATAAGATAGATAGGACCCTTAGGAGGTGAACTCCCTGGAATAATATCAATGCGGTGCTTGATTGGTCTTTCTACCACACCACTTGGGGCTTCAGCCACATCTGCGAACTCTTTTAGGATTCTTTCAATCTCTTGAGACCTTACTTCTTCCTTACTTTCCCCTTCCTTCACTGGGCGCACATATGCAACAAAGACTTGATCATACAAGTTATATTTCCTTACATGGCGAGCGAACGCTGAGGCACTCATGCAACAATGAGCTAGGCTGCTTTCCTTCCCAGACTCATGATAGAGACGAATTTCCTTTTTACCTCCTTGCGGACTTGGGAGCCAACATTCATGTTCCCTCAACTTTAAATCCACATTAGCAGCTTCTCCCCAATCCCTACCTAACAACACATCAAAGGGCAAGTTATCCTCCACCAAGAAGGTCAGAGAGTGGAGAACACGTTCCACCTTCCCCTCTGCCTCTAGCCGAAAGTATACTTGAACCCCCTCGACGTATCGATCCATAACAACTTCACTACTATTCGCTAACTTACTTACAATGGGCTCATTCAATCTTTTAACCTTAAGCCCAAGACGCAGTTTCTGCAACCCTTTCTTACTAATATAACTGCGTGTAGATCCACTGTCTATCATACCTCCAACTCTTATTCTGTTTATTTCAAGATCTGCAATTATTAACTGTCTTTTTTTTTTTCTCATTTCAGTCCAGGCTTGGCGATGAGCGGCCAACTCATCACCCACGCCAGCGAGGGATCCATCTAGAGAGACGCATATGTTTGCCACCTCTGGACAGTGCACTAGATGGGGACTGTCTTCCTCTTCAGTTTCTGCCATTGGAGCCTTCGAATGGGAGGATTCTAATTTTTCAACATTCGAAGCCCCGGTAGAGGCAACTGGGACCTCTACTGGTTATTCCCTTTTGCTCCCCTATAGTCGGGACAATAGGGCACAATGTGGTCGGGGTCCCCACATTTCAGGCACTGGTCGACGACTTTTCTTTCTTGCCACACTTTTTCTGTGATTCCCAACTTCTTCCAAGGCTCCCCTTCGGGTAGGCCTGGATGTGGTGGGTATGGTTTATCCCACTTGTTATACCACGTGCCTCTTTCTCTACCCCAGGTGGAGTAAGTACCACGGCCACCTTGCGAGGGACCATTTCTCCTTCCTCCCACGTAGTGGCTTCCTTCACCACCACCCCTCTGGGTGCCGTATCCTCGTCCACCACGGCCGCGACCTCCTCTTCCTCGGCCACGCCCTCTTCCATGACGCCCTCCCCCGCGGGCTACAACGGCCGCGTAACTCCCCTCCTGAGCTACCGGTCCGCTGAGTTCATCGAGACCATAATCTACCTGATCCCAGAAAATGGTATTGGCGCCTCCTTCTTCAAAGGTAGGAAGGAGACTATCCTTCCCAGGTATAGACCCTGAGATAGTGCAGTTTTGGCACTTCTTACCCGCTTGTAGATCTTTCCAATAGTGGCAATAGTTTGCTTCGGCGAGGAAGCCAGCATGATCTACCGCGATCTTGCCGAACTTCTCGTATGTCATTCCTTCTTCCTTGACACGGGGATAAAGTTGCGTTCTCAAGGGATCAGGAAGTGCTCGTGCAAAACTATTCAAAATCTGGGCAGGTGTCAGTCCATGGTCAGGGCATTGCAACAATTCATCCATAGTTGCTTTCAAGGCAGAGGTGCTTTTCCATTTCCTATCACGGAGGTTGAGGATTAGCATTTCCGTGCGACGTGCTAAGTTTTTATCCTCAAACCTTTCTCTCACTGCTTTAAGGAAATCTTCAATTCGAGTTTGTTGTGAGAATTCAACCATTGAGTTGCACCCCGCCTCTTTCTGTAGCGAGATTGTGAAGCTCATGGCATCGCCTCCCATGCACGAACTAGCCATTAGCACCCTGTCCCAATATGGGATTCGCTGCCCGTACACATACGACTCTATTGCCGCTGCCCAATGCAAAACACTTTCTTCTTTCTTCCCATTATAGGTCCACGACAGTTTAAGTTTAATCTTACTAGCCTGCCCTATTTCCTGTGGAAGTTTTTCCTTTGGATCTCCAACTTTTTTCCCCTTCTTATCATCATCGCCATCGTCATCACCATCTCCTCCTCCGCCTCCAGCTCCCTTAACAATTTTTTCTATAACCTCAGGAGTGAAGGTCTTGGTGACATGTTCATCCAAGGCCCTGATGTATGTCTGGACATGTTGGTCAACATCCTTTGCTGACTTTTCTAGGAAATTGTTCCAGACGGATTCGAATTCAACTCGATGTGTTTCCACCCTTTGTAACGTCTGACGCATCAAGGCCATGTCCTGCCTTGTGTTGAGGACGGCCTCTCTTAGGAGAGCAAGTTGTTCTTCTGTTGCAGAGGGTTTATCCTTTTGGTCTTCCAAGGCCTTTTGCAATTTTTCCCCTTCTGCCTGCAGTTTTTTTTTTTCTTCCACTTCTTGTCTTCGGGCTGCTAACAACTTATTATTCAGTTCAACCCTCTTCTCCTCCAGCATCAGATTTCGTTCGACTGTGTCTGTTACAGTGGCCAACTTTGCGATGAACGTATCTCGTTCCTCTTCAGACTCTCTTAACGGTTCGCTGGAGTAGTAGTACTGACCAGCCCAATCCAACGGTTCAACGGGAAGCCGGCTTGCTGTACTACTCTCAGGTATGTCGAGGTGACGACGTCTTTGCAATGTCTCCCCTTCTTCCTGTTCTTCTTCTTCGTCTTCTTCTCGAATGCTTTTCAATTCTTCTTCTAACTCTTTATCCATCCTTTCTTTCAGCTTTCTCTTGGCCTCTTCTTCTTTCTGTTTCTTCTTAGCCTCCTTTCCTTTCTTTTTCTCTGCCAACCTGCGGTCAATCTTTGCCTGTTCGCCAGGTGTGGGCCCAGGTTTTACTGTCCCAGATCGCATCAACATCCGGGACGCACACACACGTCCGAATCCCAGCGGGAACATTAACCGGAACAGTGGACCCAATAGAATAGAAAGGGCCAACAGGCCCTGGATGGGATAGTCGTCCATGGTGATGATCGGCACAGGAGGCCCTCCGCCGGTTCACCACAACACTATCCCACTCAGAATTACTTACTGACTCAGACTTGATTCATGGCGAGTGGAGTACCGGATTTCGTTCTGTTTTTTTTTTTTTTTTTTTTTTTTTTAATGCTGTCTGGCTTTCCTGGATCAGATTCCTGCAATGCGTTTTTTTTTTTTTTTTTTTGTATCTTGTTGTACTTCCCCCTCTATGCCTTGTTTGTTGGGGTAACTGGCTGGCTATTTGGATGCAGGTATGGAGTAAAGTGCAGAAATGTCAGATGCAGATGGCACACGTAGTCAAACAGGCAATAATACTGTGTTCGAATTTTTCTTTCTTTCTGGCTTAACTGGCCTTGTAGGTGTTCGTCACCATACTTGCACTGCCTGCCACTTGCAATTTGACGTGGCATATGGCCACTACCCACATCGATTCACAGTCTCCTGGTGACGTGACACAGCCTATCTATCAAGAGGGGTAGGAGAGAACTCTAACTCTACCAACAGAATACTGACCCCCAACCTAACGTGATCAGATCCTGACACATTGCATTTGGGACCATCCAGACTCTGACTCTCAGACTCTGACACACTACGATGATCCAGATCCAGTCCTGACTTCCAGTCCAGCAGCAGTCACCTTCAGAGGGAAAGAGAGAGAAGGTAAGGGACACACACATGCATGCAGGTTAAGGGCAGGAGGTGCTTCTCTCTTCTTGAAGATACTGCCGATGATGCTCCACGACGCTCCGCACGCTCCAGGTAAGTACATTCGCCCCTTCTCCTTCGGCCTGCTCCCCTACTAACAAAACACTTCTTCTCCTCCTCCCTTCCTCCACTCATCCTCCATCACCACATCTTCAACACCCCGTCTTCTCGCCGGCCTTGATGATGCCAGCGCTATGAGTGCAACGAGCATCAGGCTCCGATACCAAATTTGCATGGGTCCTGGGGACCATCTCACGCTAGAGTGTTCATAACATGCATCATCATGATTCATAATGAACTAAGTCTTCACACATTAGACAAAGATAGGAGAGAAGAGAACCGAGTTGCGCAGCTTATATTATCAACAATATGATTACAAAGAGTTTCATAGTTCCCTGAGTCCAGCGCTCATCAGCGCAATGCAAATGTCTCATCCAACTCATCAATGCAGCTCCTACATATCAGCGCCACTTCTGCAGATCATATTCAACTCAGGTAAGTATTCCCCATAGCTGAACCTTGTTTGAACACTCCCTGTCTCAGTCCCTTCTTCCTACGATGCATACACACTCTTCTCTCTCAAAGATCTACTTTGAATGCTACTCATACATGTCTACTACTAACCCTCTAAATCTATACTAACTCGCTGGGCAACTATGGCTGCATCTCTTCCCAGCGCCCTGTCTCCCTTCCTCATCTAGCGCATCTTCTTCCTCCAGCGCTGCTCCTCCTGACTGGCGCACAAGTGCTTCAGCACTTCCACGCGCAGAATGCCAGTGGAGATCTGGCGTGAAATGAGGCTGGCTGTGGCCTTTATAGTGCTGGCCTCTTCTCGCTGGGTCTGCATTGGCTCATTCAGGCCTCCCTTTGTCCCAGACCCTGCATTGCATGTGTCCCAGTACTGTCCCAATAAAG